TTCCCGTTATTATAAAGACTGATTGCATTTTTTTATTTAATAGGGCTAACCTAAGGTATGGATGAATTAGGTACTTACCATCAGAAGCTCCACTAACATGTTGTCATAGCCTTGATTCTGTCTAAATATAACAAGATCAGGTGATAAGTGAACAGTAGTTATCTTCACTGTCTCTTCATCAGAGAAGTGAGGAGGAAAATTAGTATGCTGGGAGGCTGTTCATCTGGGGCAACAATTATGAGATTGGGCAGTTGTGGTCCTATAATGACCTGTTTTAGCCTATGGTACTGGAGCTGCACATTTCCAGCTTACAACTAGGCCAAAAAAGCTAGAAAGTTGGCAGAAGAACACACACAAATAGATCCTGAGGCCACCCAGACAAATATACATGTTTAAAACAGAAATGTGGTTAGTTAGAACAATTGAACAAATTTAGCTAGGCAGAATAGGGTCATTTTCATCCTAGGCTATAGGATCACGTTCAATTCTGCTTTATAAGAAAACTGTAATTAAATACTTCTTTTTATTCAGTGCCCTAAAGATACTGATGGCATGCAATGCAGTAACCTCATTGTAAGAAATTATTGACCTTTGTGAAAACAATCCACAGTGCTACTGAAATGTCTAAAAAATGCACGTATTTCCTTAAGAAAAATATCTGCTTAGGTACAGGATAAGATATAAGGTACATTCTGGATATTCTCTTGATTCACTGTATGACTTTTCCTCAAATCAGTTTTGAATGTATTTCTACATGCAGTAAATAATGACTGATCAATATATTAATTCTCACATAAATAGCATTAATAGCAAAAGTAAAGATAGGTATAACTTTCATGATTTAACACATCAATGTATAGCAGAAATTGTCGTAAGCAGAATGATTATCAAGATCTAGTAGAATAAATGGCATGATGTAATAAATTACTATCAACACCTTTCTCCTTAAGACGTATGAAGAAGTTTGAGCATTGTTCATATATTGAAAAGACAAACTTCTCCCACCTTTATGAACCATACTGTTGAGTGCTACACTGGTAGCTGCAGCTGACATTAGAGGAGGAGTAGGAACAGGTTAAAGCAGCTAGTGTAGATGGGGCAGTGTCTCTCAGAAAGAGGTATTGCTCCTCCAGCCTGTGACGAGCTCCTTTTCTCACCCTTGCTGTTGTGGCAGCAGGCTGGGAAGCACAGACACAAGCAATAGGTAAGCAATAGCTTATATGACAGGGGGAAGAGGGATTGATAGTTGTATCGACTAGAATTGCAGAAAAGTAACTGGCATTTACCTGACTCCCAAACTGTCTTTCAACAGCTTTAGTGTCTGCTGAAGAGAAAAACTTATTGTTAAAAATGAGAGGGCTGAATACTGACTTAGCTTAAAGTGTCAGCTCAGAGAAACTACAGTTGACAGCAGTAAAAATTCTGAAAGGACACTGGTTGAGAGCCTGACTACCTAAGGCTGAAAAGGGAGAGTTTATGTTAATTATTTTGGAAGAGCTGCTCATATGTACAACTGCCATCAACTTTCATAAAGCAGTCTATATTATTTGACTTAAATCTGGTGGCAGTAACACAGGTTACTGGTTTCTTGTGTCCTGGAACATTTCTACAAAATAATTTTGGTAATGCATATAATTAGGCTAAGAGAAATTAAAGGAATAGGTATTTTTAATCATGACACAAAAGAAAAAAATAGAAATACTAATTCATTTTATAATATATGCCTTTCTGAGATAATCTATATTTAGAGCTATGGTGTAATAACTTTGCTTGGTACTGAGTTTTGAGCACTGTTATTGTTAAAAGATAATTCTGGGCTATAAGAGCCTCTATTACTAAAAATTACTCAATTAATTTAGTATTTCAAAAGCTCTGGAATGGAAAATTCACCATTAAAATGTAATGGTGAATTATGGAGATGTTTACGCCAATGTTGTAATGATTTAATTTTTGTATTTTGTATTAATTAAGTAATGATTTAATTTTTGTATTTTGTATTAATTAAAACTGTAACTTAATTTTTATATTGCTCAATTACTGATTACTTTTACAAAGTCACTATTGATACTATAAAAAGATTTATTCTTGTATTGGCAATTGTCATTGTCACTTGCATTATAGATTTAGATGCATATCCAACAATTAGATACAAGAAGGTGTGTCATGCTTCCCTGCAATAATATTTTTGGTCAGTAATTCTTCCATAGTGAGATCCACTCTACACCATTTTAACTCTCCAACCTTAGCTTCTGCCTAAAGTGATATTGTTTAGCTCCG